TTTTCTAAGTCTTTTCTCACTTGTCCGCTTTCTGAGAATTCCGGTCTTCAGTGAGTCTTCCGATTCTTAGCTGACAAATCTGGATGAGTCATTTTCAGACTTCCGGGTGAGAAGGAGATCCGCGCTAGTCTTCCGATTTGGATGACTTAGACTTCAGCGGGTTGTAGCGAGACATCCGGTTCTTATGTAGTCTTCCGGATCAGAGGATTTTCGTTTGCTTGAGAAAATCCTTACTTGTCTCTGACATTTCCGAACAAGATATTCGATTTCCATATCACTGAATTTGATTAAGTCTTCAGGCATCAAAACGCTTAAAGATATATCATAGCTTTTATTGGAAATCTCAAGTGCTCGGTTTTGACAGTATTTCTAAAAAGAAAAATTACATTGAATATTTGGGGAGACCTAAAGTCCCTAATACATTCTAAATACATCATCATCAAAATCTATAATATTTTTCCCAACAAACTATCAAGTAAAGACGATAGCAGTAGTAAAGCTTGAACTTCATCATCGAACTTAATGCCCACTGACAAAAGTCTGGCTAAGATCGAATTCAACTTGTTGATATGCTCGGTAACTGAAGTGCCTTCTTTCATTTTTGTGTTCACCAGCTCTCTTATCAGAAAAACTTTGTTCGTTGCAGATGGCTTCTCGTACATGTTAGACAATGCTTCCATAATTCCCTTCGCTGTCTTCTCCTTCAGAATGTTGAATGCAACATTCTTCGTCAACGAGAGACGGATCACGGATATAGCTTTCCGATCCAAACCTGCCCAATCTGCATCCGACATCTTTTCTGGCTTGTCACCCAATACCACGTCCAAATCTTTCTGAACCAGCAAATCTTCAATTTGCATCTTCCACCAACTGAAATCTGTACCATCGAACTTCTCAATTCGGAACTTCCCGTCTTCTGCCATATCACACGACTAGACGAGATACCCGGTAACTAATTTCAGATCTTAGTAATTTCGTCAGAAAATCAAGCCCACCACACCAATTAATTTAGCCAAAACAAAAATAGCCCAACTTCCACCAAAGAAAATCACGGCCCAAAATTAACAGAATAGCCCACCTTTTTTTTCTTCCTTCGGTCGGATCACCTTTTGCACCTGCCAATCAACCCCTTTTTCTTCCATTCCTTTTTTTCGATAGTGAAGCTTTAGAATTGGATGGCGGGACGGCGGCGCTAGCGATCTCGACGGACGGTTCCCCACAACGGCGGCGGCTCCTTCTGCCACTGCTCCTGCGTGCGGCGGTCTGTGCGCAAACGACGGCGGCGATCTGGGACCTCGACGACGATTGGGTCAGCGTCGGCTCGTTCTGCGTGCGGCTATCGGTGGCGGCGATCGAGATGGCGACGCGGCGGCAACTGGGTTGGCGGCTGCACCTTTAGATTTGGACGGCTGCTCCACAGCGACAGCGGCTCGAACAGGGGACGGCGGCGCACCAACTGGTTCGTGGCTGCACCTCTCCGGATAGCGGAAATCTACGGCACTGGACGGACCAGCGGCGGATCTCCCTTCGATATTGCAGTCCCCTCTCTGCTCGAACCAGCGGCAGTCCTCAATACGGCGGTGGCGGACGTGACGCGATGTCTCCTCTTTTAGGGGTGGATTAGGGGTAAGGGATCTTGGCCATTGTCAAAGGGCTACTGCCATGGATTTATGGTGGAAGGTTCAGCAGGGTGGAACCATTTGGAGGACTTTTATGCACCGGAAGTACTTCAGGGATGGGTCCTTCACTCCTAAGCTATATGATTCTGCTACTTAGAAGTCTATCTGCAAGGCTCACTCTTTTATAACACCTTATTGCACCTCATCACAATGCAGGATTGTATGGGCTGATGGAGCATACTCTTTTGGCAAGGTTTATTACCATTCTTTTGATCATAAGCCCAAACAGATCTCTTGCTCATATATTTGGGATAACAGGAATATAAGTAGGATGAGCCTGTTTCTTTGGAGGGCTGTCAACAAACTACTGCCTTTACCATGTCATTTACAGAAATTGTAGGTCCTGGTGGACGCTACCTGCCCTTTTTGCAAGAGAGTAATGTGGATGAACATCACGTTTTTGTTTACTGCAGGGAGATCTCTGGTCTTTGGAAAGCTTATGCAGATGCTACCAAGGCTCCCTTTTCAGCTGCCCCTCTCTCTTTGCAGCAGGTGCTGTTAAGTTGGTGGTTTTCTTCTAACAAGAAGAGAATTTTGGGCAATGTGAGGTTTGTTCTTCCTGGGCTGCTGATCTGGAACATTTGGAAGGCATACAACTCCTGCATTTTGGCAAAGGCTAGGTTTTCGAAGGAGAGTATTATGGCTGCTATAAATCAGATCCTCTAGCAATGGTTTTGGGCTAAGCATTTGGATACTTCTTTGTTATATAAATCACAACTTTTTAGCTTGGGTATTTTCAGATTTTCTAGACATGTATGATGTATTTGGGACCTTGCAGCTCTATTGAATTTTAATGAAAATTATATATATATATATATATATTTTATGAAAATTTTATATATATATATATATATATATATATATATATATATATATATATATTCTTTTTTTTATTTTTTATTTTATTTTTATTTTTTTTAAAATCTTTTTTTTTAATATAATGAACGGTCGGTTACAAGCAGGGGGCCCGAGGCTCGTTAACCTCGTGACTACCCCGGGGCCCGTTAACACCCGAGGTAGATAGCCCACTATAGAAAGCCCAAAGTAAGCCCAATCTAAAGCCCAGCCCCATAAGCCCAAATCTACATCCCAGTAGGTCACCCATCATTTCTGCTACTCTCTTGCTAGCACGCTTAGCTCTTTAAAATTCCTCCAAATTTGCATCTTCTGGGGATCGAACCCGGGTGGTGTGGTTCGCCAATCAACCCTGTGACCATCTCTACAGGGGGGACCACCTATATATATATATATATATATATATATATATATATATATATATATATATATATATATATATATATATATATATATATATATATATATATATATATGGCGATAAGGTATCAGGGTAGAGAGAGGTTCCTAAATGCGGCATCTAAGGTATATCGCCGCAGATACAATAGGGATGGTGATTACTATCAACGCAGATGGATTTCCCCTCTTCCTCGCTCCTTTAAAGGTCGGATCGCTAGGCATCCACAAGGATTGAGCTTTGGCGATGAACAGGTTCACCATCCTTGGAGGAATCAGCACAAACCACCTAGGACTTATATCAGTCCGAGGTCTGGGATAATTCTTTCGTATGCAGGTCCCTTCTCTAATTCCAATGGCAGGCTCTCCATTCATCTTGAAAGCAAACGGTATGACTTCCACCTTTCCGATTCTCTCCATATTTCAGAGCTCAAGAAAGGTTATTTTCGTACCATCTCGGTCTC